TGTTGCTGCTTGTTTCTGTTGTGTTGTGCTAATTTTGTTGTGTTGCGACTTGTTTCCGTTGTGTTGCAGCTTGTTTCCACTGTGTTGTGCTAATTTCATTGTGTTGTGGAGATTTTATTGTGTTGTGCACTACTGGACCACCGTAAGAACCTGGCAGTGAACAGTTCTTTAAAGAACCAGCCTAAAGAACATTCGTCCAGTATAAAGAAACTTTTGTGCATTTTAAATGTTTCATAAATGTTAGAAGAAACCACAGATGCCAATAAAGGATCTTTATTATTAAGAGCGTAGACAAATAATTTAGCAAATATATTCACAGCCTATCTATAGCGTCTGAAGCCAGTTAGATAAAGCTTCAATTTCCTAACCAAATATGGCTCCCTTTACCACTAAAGCAGACACTGCACATCAACAAATTTGATACATGCCGGATTTTACGGTTCTAACATAAATATATGTTTAATTGCCTCATAAGTCATCCAAAAAATTCTTCACCGATTTTTGTGTTGGATTGCAAGTCTAAGGCATACCAGTGCCAAAAACATCTTCTGAATCATATCGTTCACCATAAAAGGATCGAGTCACCTTCAAAAGCCCACATCAATCCACTTCTGTAATTGAAATTATGAACCTGATGCTACTGCTGAGTTATACAACTCCAGATGTTCTCGCATCAAATTAAATCACTTTCATATCATCAGTCAGTGCTTTGCCATTAAGGGCAAGATGGTGGGTTACAGGTTATAGAGATGCTGCAGGTGGGCAGCACGGAAATTAAAGTGTGATTAAAATGTATGAATGGTCAGTCATAATACTGGCTTCAATGCCAGGTTTTACATGTATAACTTCAGGTATGGGCTTAGCTTTGTAATTATTGAGAGAGTATTAGAGATATTAAAATTCTGACCATTAATATTACCATGTTATGGCAGATAAACATTTATATAATGCACAAAAGTATTGGGACCATTACATCAACAGGAACTGAGTTTTGGATTTTTTGCCCATCCAGTATACAGGTCAAGTTCCTCCACACCAAACTCATCCAACCAGTGTCTTCATGCACCATGCTTTGAGCACTGGGACAGTCATATTGGAATATAAAAGGGCCTTTCCCAAACTGTTCCCACAAACTTGGTAGCAGAGCATTGTTCAGAATTTCTTGGTATGCTGAAGCATTAAGATTTCCCTTCATGGGAAGTAAGGGGCTTAACCCAATCCATGAAAAAACAGCCCCTATACCTATCCCTCCTCCACCAAACTGTACAGTTGGCACAATGCAGTCAGACAGGTAATGTTCTTCTGGCATCCACCAAACCTAGTCTCGCCCATCAGACTGCCAAACAGAGAAGCGTGATTCGTTACTCCACAGAACAGATTCCCACTGCTCCAGAGTCCAGTGGCAGCATGCTTTACATTCCTACATCTGAAGCTTGGCATTTTACTTGTTGATATGAAGCTTGCAC